TTCCTGCGCTCGGTTATAATCGTGAAAGAAATTAGCCCATTCCCAGCTATGAGACTTGACCAGGTTGCTCGGGGCTTTCCCCTGCATGACCTCTCTGGCAGCCTGCCCCACTACTGAACTGTCTTCATGGGGAAAAAGTGTCTCCTTACAGCCAGTTTGGACTTCTCTTGTTTCATCGTACGCCCGTTGTGCCTTGTCCTCCCACCGTGCGCTGCTGTGAAGAGCCCGGCTCCTTGTTGGCCTCCTCAAGGGTACTGGGGCTGCTCTTAGGTCCCCCTGAAGCCTTGTCCCCTCCAGGCTGAACAAGTCCTGGTCCCCCAGCCTGTCCTCACAGGGCAGGTGCTCTGGTCCCCTGAGCACCTTGGTGGCCCTCTGCTGACCTCACTCCAGTTTATTGCATTTTTCTTGTACTGGGGGGGGGGGCAAAAGGTAATATTCTAGATGGGGTCTAATGAGTGCCAAGTACGGGGAGATAATCACGTCTCTCATCTGCTGGCTATGCTCCTATTAATATGGCCCAGAATGCTGCTGGCCTTTGCTGTCAGGGCACACCGCAGGATCACAGTCAGCTTGCTGTCTGCCAAGACCCCAGGGCCTTGGGTTGTAGTATTTCAACAGGGATGCTTCAGGAGCTGGAAATGCTAAAAACCCTGAGGGAGGGGGTTTTCCTGAACAGGGGATGCATATGGTTATTCTCTGGGGTTGCACCAATCCCAAGACACCCCCTGAGCGATGCTGCATGGAGTAACACAGGGCACCCTGCCCCTCACGCAGGGCATCAGAGCCTGATTCAGGTGTCCAAGGGCTCCAATTTAATACCTCCAACAGACCCAGCTATGCTAACGTATGCAGTTACCCGCTGGTAATGAGCTTTTCGCCCTGGCCCTGCCAGAGGTTACTGCTCCCACGGCAAGCAACACCATACCCATGCCTCAGCTGCCATGGCACGGACCTGCTACGGAGAACAATTCCCAGCTTATGCCTTCGCTCTGGGCTGAAAACTGCAGCAGCTGCAGCGTTAGCAAGCTGCCCCTGCCCTCCGCGAGCCAGCGAGGGAGCAGGCAGCCGGGAGGAGACAGCCACGGCTCCTGCACTCGTTTAACCAGCTCGGTTCAGAAGCCAGTGCCCCGAGACACGAGGCCAGGCACCTTCCCGTCAGCAGAGCGACAGAGGCCCCTAGAGAATAATTCAGAGTGTCTAAGCTAAGCTCCTACGATGAATCATACCCTGTATCTCTCTCTTCACTAACCACACACTTCGGTTCCTCAGAAAAGATACCTGAGGCTGAGACAGTGAATATCTGCAACTGAATTTAGCAGGAATGTGCGGCTTTTTTTTTTTTTTTCCCTTCCTTGTTGCTCTGAAGGGGAAAGTCAGCGCGAGCTCAGCAGACTGCCCGCTTGGCTTTGGATGCATGATGACCCAGCGATGGGAGCAGGCTTCTCTGTTCTCCCAGGAAACGGTTTGGATCTGATTCATGGGTCAAATTTTCCAGCATCTGAACACGCTGAACTTTTTTCACATGAGCTGTTTTCAGTCACTCGTTACAAAGACATCATACCCGCTTGCACCACTGAGATGAACCATAACGCGAAGGTTTTTCTCAGCCCTGCTTAACCCCACTCTGTTCCTCTCATCTGTACTCAGCCTCACTGGCTACGGTGTGTCACTGCTTAACTCTGTGCAGCAGGATCGTGGATTACCAGTGTTTCTTTCAAACTGCCAGTACTATTTTTAAGGTACTAAAAATACTTTTGAAAAATCCCACCTCTAAATTTTTAGGAAGCGTCTTATGCTTACAAAACTCTTTAAAGAGTTTATTACACTATAAATGATGAATTAAGCTTATTGTTCCTAGCTAAGACCATTCATTTATGTACTGCTTTTGGTCTTTATAAGAAATTCAATTGTTCAGTTTCAGTTTGATTACCGCGTCTCTGCACTAAATAAGTGCATTAAGTGTTTCCAACAGGGCAAGGGAATGAAATCATTTTCTCATGTATTCATTGACTTTTAAAAATAAGTATAAAAACCATGTTTATTAAATTTTAAAAGGCTTATACAAAAATTCTTGCCTTTTGGGGAGCAGAAACAAAACCCCAAGAACATCCCTTTATGTTCTATAGGGGGCAGCAGCATACTATCAGATGAGCATAAGAAAGGGCGCTGTACTCCCATCTGTGTGCACCCGCCCAGAGCGGACCTGGCTCTCCGAGCCGGGAATCCCTTAGCAGGAATACAATGCCCTTAGTATAAGGTAACTCATCTGCACTCCCAAAAATCTGCTCCAAAAAGCAATGCAGAAGCCAGTGAAACTGCACACATTGTACATGGCTGCAGCGGTTTTATTTCAGTGCAAATGTTGATCTTTGAAGTGACAGGTAATGCATTTACGCTGCAAGGAGTGGAGCATTTCTTCACTCGGACACGGCTACCTGGATACATGGTCAGCACGGGGGCTATGTCCAACAATGCCCAGGCAGCGCTGCTCAGGGACCGGACTCAGCCGGACCACTTCACAAAGGCAGATTTTTAGAGAAAACTAACTTAGGCACTTTGGGACAGAGGAGGAGACAGGGCTGGCCCAGGAGAACAGGCAGCTCACCCTGTCCTCAAGCTTATGAGTCACAACCGGAGTAAAGAGCAGGACTGGGGGAGGGGGGTCTCTGCTCTTCAGCTTTGGCTTTACTCCAGGCATCTCAGGGAGAGGCCACATACACTGCGCACATACAAGGACACGGCTCTCGCAGTCAGTGGGTTCAAGACTTGCTCCCCTTGCCCTCCCCTTCCTCTCCAAGTGACCAGTCCAATCCCACCGGAGTGTCATGCGTCCCACCAGCATACCCATGAAACAGGCACCTCCTTTCGTCTCCTGTGTGCGCCGCATCATCTCCCAGCCTGGGCAGGAGAGGGGCTGGGGACGACGCTCCGCTCCGAGCCTCCTCTCCCATCGGAGGGAGAAGCCACCTCCTCCCTCGGGCGCATCCCGGAGGAGCCTGCTCCTTGCCCCGTCGCGGCGGGCAGGCTCCGACAGCCCCCGGGCAGGCGCTGGCGGCACAGTTCCTGGCTCCGGCACAGGGGCTCGGAGAACACCAGGGGCGTCCCCCCCATCTCATCAAAGCGCCAGGGGTTGTTGCCGGGCCCCCCCACCACCCGCTCCAGGAGCCGGACTACGCAGTCTGAAAACCAGTTCTTCAGGCGGAAATAGCCCTCCTGGAAAGAGATCCGAAGGCTGACGGGCCCCGTCGGCATCCGCACGCTCAGGCTGAACAGGTAGTTCCCCTGAGAGCTGTCCCGTACCAGGTAGGTGCCAACGGGCTCCCGCTGGAGCTTGGCGTGAGCCTCCCCCACTGACAAGGGGCCCCAGTAGAAGTCGCTGGCCTGAAGGATATTGAGGGATCGCTCCAGTACCTCCCACTCGCAGCTGCGAAACATCTGGAAGCGAGCAGGGATGGCGCGGGGCTGGGGAGGATGCTCCGATGCTGCCTTTGCGGACGAGAAACAGTTGCGCGCGTGTTCTGTAGGTCCTCTGGCCTCCCTCTGATCATCTCTCAAAGAGCCCATGGATCCTGGAAAGGTGCTGTCTTTACCATGCTTCCCCCTGTGCATCCAGCCTGCAGGACAGAAGGAAAGCGAGGCAAAACCTTTATGTTCATCTAACTGGGCAAGCCAAGACTCTTCACAGGGAGGAAAAACAGCTGCGAAGGTACCACAGACGGTACAGGGGAGTTACTGTAGGTCACAAACCCACAGCTGTAGGAATGACAGGGGAAATATGTGCAGGAATGGTTCCAGCTGGCTCCCCCCGCCAGTGCAATGTTAGAGCTCTGCATCTCCTGGGTTTGTATGCTTCCCAGCCAGGGCTCCTCAGCACAGCCTTCAGCAGGCTCGTTTCAAACTAGCAGATCTCGGTATTTGCAATTTCCCTCTACTGGATGTTTGGGGAGGTTTCAGAGCGGCCTTGAGACTGGTAAGCAGAAACAAGACCACAGATTAGAAGGGAAAAACCTCCTATGGCAGGAAAGTATCTTTATCATTCAGCGAAAGGTGCAAAGGACTTCCCGTGGCTGCCCATCCTTCCCTCTGACTAAAGGACAATGTGACTTAGAAGAAACAGAAGATAGGAGTGAATCTTTCCCACCAAACCCCAGGGACCACTGCCTCGTCCCAGGACACTCCCGGGCCAGGAGGTCTCAGACTGGGCCCCCTTCAAGAAACGTTTCGTCATCAGCAGTGCAAGGATTGCGGTGGATTAGACTGCTTATACGGACACCGGCCTCTGCGGCCGCGCGAAGAACGATCCTACTCAGGCCCTTAACTCCGGTTTCTGCCCTGGGCTCTCTGCGCCCTGGGGTACAGCTCTGAGCCACAGGCTCCCCGCCACCAGCAGAGGATCCTGCCCTCTCCCAACCCTGTCACAACCCCGCTCTTGCCCTACCCGGTCTGCGCCTGCTGTTATAACCAGGCTCTCTGCATTTAGCAACGCAGATTCCTGCGCCCAGTGTTGCCATCAGCCATCCGTCCGAGTTTTTTCAATTATTAAAAAAAAGTATATATTCTGCCTGTGTGTGTGTGTGTGTGTGTGTGTGTGTGTATGTGTGTGTGTACACACACACATGCACACATAAATGTCAAAACCACAGTCCCAAGCCAGAGGCTCAGTCTATGCGAGAAGCCGAGCTGTTACATACCACTTCCCCAGGCCTGACAAGGCAATAGCTCACCGCCAAACCCTGCCCTCAGTCCCTTGACATACTCCATTAAGCCAGTCACACACGCTGACAGCGAAGCCCCGCTTCGAGCGGCACAGACGGCCGACGTGCGGCCCGCAGTGGAGGGGCGCCAGGGCTCGTAGGGGGCACGCGGCATCCCCAGGGAACGCGCAGGGACCCGCAGAGGAGGGCTTACTCCAGCGGGAAAAGCTTTTTTCTCGCTATACAGCCCGGCTAGCTAGGCTCACATCGTTCACGGCTACTCCAAAGCCTCGCACTGCTGTCGGTATTCGGGCCAGCTGCGCACAGCGCGGCGCGCGCGTGGGGAGAGGACGTGCAGCGACGGGGCCAAGCTTCTTTCCCTCGCGCCTCCCTGCCCAGCACCCTTCGCCCTGCCTAGGCACACGCTGCCAGGGGGCATAAAGCAATTCAGCCTCCACAGCCAGCTCAGTCCATCTCTCTCCTAGGGCTCCTATACAAAAGATAGGCCCAGCTGGCATAGCGGTTTTGGAAAGGAGACATCCATCCAGCAAAGCCTTGTCTACAACTGCCCTTTCTCCCCTGTTGTCTCTCACAGTAGTCGCAGTAATTTAGTTGCAGTCATATCAGTAATGCAACCGTCAGGCACTTCTCCACACATGGAGCCATAAACATCTTTGTCCAAGAGCACCCTGGGAAGCCTTTCCAGGGCTGAATATCCTCAGTTCCTCATCCTGTGATTTGCAGGCTACCAAGCTGTTACCATCCTCTATCCTGCCCTTTAGCTACGTGTCACTGTGGGAGGGAAATTCCACTCTTACAAAAAGGTAGGAGGGGTAGGAAGGAGTTAATCAAGTTGTTTTTTTTTTTCCATTAAAAAAAAAAGACGCAGCAGTTGAGAGAGCTGCTCAGACAGTTCAGCAAGTCAGAATAAATCTTAGGGGAGGCTGATTTAGTGAGCAGAACGCAAGTAAACACAGTCGACACGTGCAGTGATTAGAGCAATCTATCACCACGCAAAACTCAACACTGTAGGCACCACAAGAAGCTGCAGCATCTCTGCAGCATCTATCCCTTTCCTCTTCCTCTCTGTTGGGTGAGGAAGCTACAGAGCCCTGTAACTTTAGTTACTACAGAAAAAGAAGGTTGTACTACTGTTAACTACCTCCGAGGCTGCAGCTAAAGAGCCGACAGGACTGAGAAGGAGCCTTGCTCCCACCAGCAGCCACTCCTCCCAAACAGCAACTTCTCGTGGGTCCAAACTGAAATTTTGCCAGTCTCACAGGTCTTGGTCGGGAAACAAATTCAAACAGAAAAACAGAAGCAGGCAGCTGTCTTTCATTTCCAGACTAGTTTTAAAAACAACAAATAGATAATTTGTTTAAGGCTGCAGATGCCATTTGACAAAAAAAAAAAAAAAACAACGGTTTGTCCCAGTTTTCAAGCTTGAGTCATTCTCCCAAGTCCTTTAAGAAAAATCCACTGCTACTAGAAGTCTGACTGAGTAAGAACTGAGACTGTGTCATCATTTCAAATTCAAAGCAAATGCAAAAATAGCACCCTCACAATTTGTTCACTTGGTTTGAAATCTCCATATGGGTCATATCCTCAGACAGCATGAATTTGTTTAGCTTCAGTGACCCATTTCCAACAGATGACTGCCTGGCCTGCAGTGCAGGGTTAGTTGGTCCTCTAGAAGTACTTTCTGATATTACCTTCACAGGTTCACTCTTAACGGGTCAACAGCTACCATGTGTACATGGCCTCCCATTTCAAACCAGGAAAAAGGAGACTCTTTGGATTAGAAATAAGCCAGACCAAGGGCGCACCGAAATACATATGTGTAATTAGTTCTGCTTCCAATTTACCACACCAAGATTTGCTTTTTTTCCCCCTAAAAAGCCAAAAAAACCCTCACGCCCAAACACATTACTACCTCCCTGCTGCAAGACAGCAAGAACAGCATTTACAGCCAGAGCAACATACTGCAAAAAGCCAGTGTCCCACTAATTAAAAGGCTGGACAAGTTTCCCTGGACCTTCTGATTTACTACAAGTTCAAGTGCTTTTCAAAGTAAGTGCTCTTGACACAGGGCATTTTGTTTGCCTCCCTATTCGCTATCCAAGCAAAGCAGAGCATTCCATATAAGAAGACAACTCTAGTCAACTGGGTGACTGTATACAATCTGTAGTGTCAGCCAAGCCAGCTCTGCACCCTGGGGCTTGATAAATCTGGCATGTTCAACAATAGCTTGTACTCAGGTCTGATTTGTTCGTGCACTTTTGTTTTAGGACACTTGAAAGAGCTTACCTCTTTAAATTTACTATCCATAAGGATGAGGTTCTGGACATCACGCCTGGAACTGGTCCCAATTCAAGAGCTTCGATGCAGCATTTCCTAGGCTTTGCAAGGCTTCACTTAAGAGTAGGTCCTTCCTTTGAAAAGAAAGAGAGGTCCATCAAACTGGTGACTAAGCCCATCAGTTTGCCATAATGCAGACCTAAAATGCAACCACTCCAGGGACAGGTTGTCTGTCTCAGTCTCCTTGGCCTATGTTATTGGAGAACCATGTATACAGCACTTCAGATAACAACAGAGACAAATGACACGTTTTACTATTATTAATGCTACTTCCGATGCTGTGACTTAAGTAACTTCCAAACAGCTCGCAGGTGCCCTAAGGATGAATGCAAAGAGCTTAAAGTTGCCATCGTCTTTTAGAAGCTGAACCACAAAAACCAAATGTTAAGAGATGATGCAACAGGAATAAGATTTAGGATTCTGAATAGCAAATCCAAACTTGTGCCGACTGCTAGGCCTAACGTTTAGAGCATCTTATCGGAAAGAGCACACACAACCATTCGCTGCCGAATTATCCAAAGAGGGCCCTGGCCAGTTCCCACACGAGCTCCTCTGCCCTGCTTCCCGCAGCTCTCGGGACCCTTTTCTTTGGCACCCTGCAGATGGCATATGAAATCTGCTGACCTGATGGAGCAGCAGAGCACCACTTGGGCAATCACATATCTGTCAGTGGGTCCATCAGCAAGCAGGAAAAACAAACCCAGCCTCTTGCATGCCTTTCGGAGACAGTCCCTTTAAAGCTTCCTTTACACCTAGGCTCCATCACTCAACATCGCTACCCTGCGCCGCTCCCAGCCAGCCCCGGGCTGGGCGCGCGCCCCGTGAGCCGCGTTTCTAGCCCACGGCTAAGCTAGCCCCGCCCTTCCGCGCTGGT